TTAGGATCAGGGTACGAATTAAAGCGATAATGACTTAAACAATATTGATGATAATAAATACTGATAAACATGAATTAATGTTTGCAACCATAAATAATTCATAAATATAAATTGATTTTGTGTTCGATTCGTAGCTGGAATTGTGGCTGTATACGGTTCAGAAGAGATAAAAAAACAAATGTTTTCTAAATGTGAAATCTTTACGAATAGCAATATGAACATGAAGACAAAAGCTATTATATATCATTAAAAAGAAAACAGCTTAACCTGGTAAATTGAATTGACCAGCTTGATCTACAATTAGATGAAGATGATCTTTACTACGTTGACCATCCATACCGGTAAAAAGAAAATGTTCCAATGGAACTGGACGTTTATTAGTTGCAACTACATGAACTTCAGTTCCACGTACACGTCCTAACCAATCAGCAAAATCAAGTTTATTAGGAACTGTTGCACTTAACATAACTAATAACACGTGTTTAGGCAGCATTATCATAATTTGTTCCCATATATGACCTCTTTCCACATCATTGACATAATGAACCTGTAGAGAAAGAGAAATATACGTATACATATAAACATTTTGAGCACTAAAAGAATACATAAAAAGTAACTATTACTTTGGTTGGCTACATAATTAGAAAAACAGATTGTAAATACAATAAACAAAATCACTATGATAGATTACAATTGTTTAGTTCATAAATATAACAGAAGTTGGAGTTTAAAATTCTTTAAAATATGAGTAACTGACTAATTATATCAAAATATCTATTATTATTTTTATTTATTTTATTTTAACACATAGATATTGGTACAAGGAGGCACCAAATGCATATGCGCCACACAAATCTCATTCGACATGTGTGAGGGGTGTGGTACTGCCCGGGTACCCAAACCGAAGCAGGTGGTTTTCTTAGGGGGCCACTTCCTGAGCCTTCGACCTGGAGGTCTGATCCACAAGGCAGTGGAGCATCGTGAGGAGATGCAGTCCCATGGTAGCCGGTGACCAACAATTGGTTCATACGCCATTTATTCCCGCAGGATACTGGAGCCCATGTGCACCATTGGTTTTGAATCCGGTTAAAGTGCCGGACATTGGCTTTTCTCCTCTCGTTTTCGTAAACAACTCCCCCGCCACGAGAGGGCAGTGAGTAGGACTTCCCTGGCAGAGGCTATATACGCGTGGTCATGTGAGAGCATTTCGAGAGGGAGAGCGGACTCTCTCCACTCAGCCGTACCAGGGCATTTGGGGGCTTGATGAGTTAAACAAGACAAGAACAGTAAAATTTACACAATAAAATGAACTTATGAAGTCTTAGTAACTACTCTGAATAGTTTACATTTACAAATAATCCGCAAAGGATGCACATATGCCACTAAGAGACTGGTCAAGTGACGTTTTATACATCAATGGGAAGATTCAAATAAACAATATAAAAATGAATTAATACTTCACCTAATGGCTATTAGGATTCAGTAGCTAAATTTTTATAACTTGTGGCCCGAGGGCCCTGTTAATGTATAACGTAACGATACCGCCAATTAGAGAGTAGTGAATTATCGATCGGACCAATGACGCGTAAACCCGTACGAGCAGTCTAGTGTATTTATCGGTCCTGCTTCCTGCCTAGCCCAGCCAGTTAAGTCCAGAACACCAATCTCAGCCTCCACGATATGAATCGTTTATTTCAAGGATACTGGGTTTATATGCCAACCAGACAGACCACACTGTACCATAAAATCTGAAACAACATTTGTACAAGAACTAGGCAAATGTGGTTGTGAATGTGAGAGGTAGTAATTAGTAGACAGGCCATAATTCAAGAATGGTAAATCGTATAGTAATAGTTCATAGGTCAAAATGAAGCTCATAATAAGAGGGATACAGATATGAACATTTTAGTTACATAACAATTATACGATAAAAATATACTTATCGTATTGGTCCATAAATGGATACAAAAGTTACCATTTATTATGCTTATCGGGACATGACTTAAGTGGATAACGCAATTACGTTTAAAGCGAACGAAACTGGATTTGAGTCTCGGAGGGAACATTAATCCAGTTGGCGAGTATCGAACAGAACGAACCGCGCGTCCTGTATTCCAATTTTGCTTACAATAATAGTAAGATTTCAAGTAGAAGACGCAAATACGTTAGTTAATAAAGAAGTTGCAATAAATACTTAGCAAAATAAAACGAACAAAATACATTGTCGTTGACATTAAAGCATACTTATGGGTAGAAAAGCTGAAGAGATTGAGATCACAAATAATAACATCAGTAATAAAATAACGATTGGATCACGAAAACATTTAATCAGAATGAAACGTTTCGTCAAATTATTTTCAGAACTATGTTCCTAGCATGATAGAACTTGAGTAAATAAGCATTGTATTCAGTATAGTTTCACCAGGTCATCACAATAATGGCGCCTAGTTGGTGCATCAACACTGTGGCAGTCAGTCACTAAGTCAGACAGCACAGACCGTAGTGAATGAGCCCACTGGCAAGTCTCTTTATTCGAAAAATAAACTACCTACCAAAGCGCAACTATACAACGCAACGGTAAGCTATAATTTAAAATAGAGTTGTGAGAAAAGACCAACAGACATAATATATATACGGTGTATTTAGAATACAATCGTGTAAAGGAAAACCAATGAGTGGGTACTGTCAACATAAAGCTAAGTCCAAAACAAGAGAGATAAATCGATCGACTAAAGCAGTCAAGATATACGTTGAGAATGTTAGGTTGCCACTTCGTGTACTGCTGAGTACTATAGGGTCAGAGAAAGAGGGAAAGTGTGGAAAGATTGAGATATAGAGTGATTATTACGCCACTAACTGCTGATATAAGCATTGAACGCTACGTGAATGAGATCCTCGAGAAGAACCAATCACCGAAGATTATCCGATTCCTTCGTGAATTCAAATAATGATAACATGACCTGAGATCAACCACAATCTAGCAGATACATTCAGATTGTAATTACATATTGAACACATTGTAGCATCTAAGCTGAAATTGTCTATTTCGTTTGTATTCATGTACCTCTATTTGCGTTAGACTTTTTCTGTGTTGTGACAAATTAAAACTTGAACTGCTGGACATTCCGGGTTTTGTTGTCGGCTTTTGACGGTTATTCATTAGAGCTAGAAAAAGTACTCCCACTGAAGAACTAGCAGATTTCAAAATCTGTTACAATATACGGATTTAAATTGTAATGATTTGGATTATCCCGATTTTTGATATTTTGACTGAATTTTGATCCGTCTTAGCACATATGAGCCCGGTGGGGATTGTCTCAAAATAGCCACTATGAAACAAGTTTATATGGAATAGACGGATAACACTAATCAAAATTCAGTCGAAATATTAACAATTGGATAATCCAAACCTTTCCGAATTAGATTAAAATTCATACTCGTTGCACAAGTGAGTGGCTATGAGGAATCAGTGGCATTAACATTTGAAGTGAGATGTACTGAGTCCGAATCCCAAAGCGAACATCAACTCTAAGATGCAGATATATCCAGATGACAAGTCCCAAGTGGGACGGAACGCACAACCTAGATTTTACTGGAAGCCACATCCTATCTATTAGATATAGACAAAAAGACCTTTTAATAAGGTTATATGTTAATCAATTATGGAACATATGAAGTCTGATAAGTACTAAAATACATCATTACCACAAACGATTTGTTTATCTTTAAATAGTAACAGATCAAACAATAATCCGGAAAGATGGAGACTTGATGATAAGATTTCTCAGTTAACTAAACATCTCATTAATCTTATTTAGCCCATGATCTGGAACAAGACAGCAGTGCACATTGCCACTGCACTAGGTTACTACTTTGTTGTATTCAATGAAGTTAGGTGTGTCAGTGTATGTAAATTTTATGATCAATGTTACAAAGTCATAGAATTTTGATAATATGAAGATTTATACACAGTTTGATTCTGTGAAATGATTTTAAGAAATAGAGTACGTTACTAAATAGGCTAAAATAATCAAAAAATGACAAATTACAGAAATACAATTGTAAAAAGAAAATTGACCTGTGCAGTTTATTGGATTGTCCTTAGTTCACAACTGTTAAATCATGAATTTTAAACATTACTCACTTACAAAGGCATTTTAAGCTTGACACATGGTTCATGGATTACAAACTGAAATCGAAAGGTGTGCCCAAGTACAAGACTAATTCCTAGTATTGTAGATCGTTAAACTAGTGATTCAACTATAAACCCTCTTATCAATAAGGTTTTTGGGAAAATTAATACGGTGGGATACAGCTGGGTTTATGAATATATATATAAATACTGAATTGGATTTTGTCTCGATCTGGGTACCCGAGTAGTATCACAGTCCATACACAAATCACATGACTTGTGTGGCGCATATCTCTTCGGTGACCCTTCGTACCGATATTTATGTGTTCAAACAAATAAATAAACCAGTATGAAGAGAATTATGAACATATAGGCAATAAATATTTTAAAAAATACTTGCTTCGTCCATAATGACTATTTCCAGATCTCTGATAACATCAGCATCGTTACACAACATGTTATGCAGAATTTCCGTGGTCATTATTAGAATTGTAGATTCGGGAGCCAGTTTGATATCACCTGTAATTAGTCCAACACTATCTCCGAATGTCTGTCTACAATCCATTTCAAAAAATATGAAAATGGTAGTTAGGAGACAACAAACCAGGTTAGCAATAGTTTGCTGTTAGTTACAGCTGGCATCAGGTAGACGTATCGAATTGTATTTTAATGCTAAATTTTAGGCTTTTATGCTATTTAATACTTTTCGCTACCCGAATTAATTTTTTCAAACTTTCCAGATTAATTATTAAAAATAAAAGTGTTTGGTGTAACACACAGTAAAGACAAAATTATATACTATTTTTCAGTAGTAAAAAGTTTGTCTAGAAAACGTTATTGAAAAACGATATGTAAGATATAAGATATACGCCTGTAGCTCTTATAGGGTTGCTGCCGGTCCCAAGCCCGGGTAAAGGAGGAGGGTTGGGCATGGGGTTAGCGTCCCCATCCCGTAGAAAACTAACTCGCTAAAAAAACGCTTACCAGAAAAAATAATCCAAACCATTTTAACTCTGCCCTGGGAGTTAGAAGGTCTTCATTTAGAAGAATTATGACGCTTCATGGTGAAAGCCGAGTTCCTTCGGAAGCCACGAGGCCGATGCCCCTTCTAACAACCAGAGCAAAAATTTTTATAGGTACATGGAACGTTCGAACAATGTGGGAAACCGGGAAGACCAGTCAAATATCAATGGAAATGAGGAGATACAACTTAGCAGTACTGGGAATCAGCGAAACCCACTGGACCCAAGCTGGACAGAAAAGGCTAGCTACGGGAGAGATGCTGCTATACTCCGGTCACGAAGAGGACAATGCTCCACACACTCAGGGAGTCGCTCTTATGCTGTCCAAAGTAGCACGAAATGCACTTGTAGGATGGGAATCTCACGGATCCAGAATCATCAAAGCATCATTCAAAACAAAGAAGGAGGGGATCTTAATGAATATTATCCAATGTTATGCACCCACTAATGATAGCAACGACGACATTAAAGATCAATTCTACGAGCGGCTGCAGTCAGTGATAGAGAAATGCCCAAGAAAGGACCTCACCATTCTAATGGGAGATCTAAATGCCAAAGTCGGAATAGACAACACTGGATATGAAGATATTATGGGACGACATGGACTGGGAGAAAGAAACGAAAATGGAGAAAGATTTGCAAATCTATGTGCATTCAACAAATTGGTCATAGGAGGCACAATATTTCCACACAAGCGTATACACAACGCTACATGGATCTCACCGGACCACACTACAGAGAACCAAATAGATCATATTTGCATCAACAAAAAATTCCGAAGGACAATTGAAGATGTGAGAACCAGGAGAGGAGCTGACGTAGCTTCAGATCACCACCTAGTTGTAGCCAATTTGAAACTGAAGCTAAAAAAGAACTGGACAGGTGGACAAACAGCAATACAAAGGTTCAATACAGCCTTCCTTCGAGATACTGTCAAACTCAATGAATTCAAGATAGCTCTCAACAACAGGTTCCAAGCCTTACGAGATCTACTGAAAGAAGAAGAAACTACTATGGAGGACAACTGGAAAGGCATCAAGGAAGCATTAACTTCAACGTGTCAAGAGGTTCTCGGTCTAAAGAAATACCATCATAAGGAATGGATCTCTACAGAAACACTGGACAAGATCAAAGAAAGGAAGAACAAGAAGGCAGCAATAAACAACAGCCGAACACTAGCAGAGAAAGTCCAAGCACAAGCTGAATACATAGAAGCAAACAAACAAGTGAAGAGGAGCATTAGAGCCGACAAGAAGAAATACGTGGAAGAACTAGCAACGACGGCAGAAAAAGCTGCTAGAGAAGGAAATATGAAACAGCTTTACGATACAACGAAGAAACTATCAGGGAAATACAGTAAACCAGAGAGGCCGGTCAAAGACAAAGAAGGCAAGCCAATCACCGAAATTCAACAACAACGTAACAGATGGGTAGAATACTTCGAGGAACTCCTGAATAGGCCGGCTCCAATGAATCCACCGGACATCGAAGCAGCACACATAGATCTTCCTATAGATGTCAATCCACCAACTACGGAAGAAATTAGAATGGCCGTCAGACAAATCAAGAACGGGAAAGCAGCAGGACCCGACAACATACCAGCTGAAGCACTGAAATCAGACATCGAAACAACCACAAGCATGCTTTATCTTCTATTCAAAAAGATTTGGGAGGAGGAACAAGTGTCAATGGACTGGAAAGAAGGACACCTCGTCAAGATTCCAAAGAAAGGAGATCTGAGCAAATGTGAAAACTACAGAGGCATAACACTACTGTCAATACCAGGGAAAGTCTTCAACAGATTGTTGCTGAACCGGATGAAGGATGCAGTAGACGCCCAACTTCGAGATCAACAAGCTGGATTCCGTAAGGATCGGTCGTGCACAGACCAAATTGCAACACTACGGATCATCGTCGAACAATCAGTTGAGTGGAACTCATCACTATACATCAACTTCATTGATTATGAAAAGGCATTCGACAGTGTAGACAGGAGGACGTTATGGAAACTTCTTCGACACTACGGAATTCCTGAGAAGATTGTCAATATTATCCGGAACTCATACGACGGACTACAGTGCAAAGTAGTGCATGGAGGACAGCTGACAGATGCATTCCAAGTAAGGACCGGAGTCAGACAAGGCTGTTTACTCTCTCCCTTCCTCTTTCTTCTGGTGGTCGACTGGATTATGAAGACCTCAACATCTGAAGGAAAACACGGAATACAATGGACAGCTCAGAATCAATTAGACGATTTGGACTTCGCAGATGACCTAGCCCTCCTATCACGTACACACGAACAGATGCAGATGAAGACAGCCAGTGTAGCAGCAGTCTCTGCATCAGTAGGCCTCAGCGTACACAAAGGGAAAACTAAGGTCCTCAAATTCAAAGCGGAGAACAGCAATCCAATCACTCTTGATGGCGAAACTCTGGAAGATGTAGAATCCTTCACATATCTGGGAAGCATCATCGATGAACAAGGAGGCTCAGATGCAGACGTAAAGGCGAGGATCGGCAAAGCAAGGGTCGCATTCCTACAATTGAAGAACATATGGAACTCAAAACAACTTTCAACCAATATCAAAGTGAGAATCTTCAATACGAACGTCAAGGCAGTTCTACTGTATGGAGCTGAAACTTGGAGAACTACAACAACCACAATCAAGAAAGTACAAGTATTTATAAATAACTGTCTACGCAAGATACTCAACATCCATTGGCCGGATACCATCAGCAACAGCCTTCTGTGGGAGAGAACAAACCAACTTCCAGCTGAAGAAGAAATTAGGAAAAGACGATGGAAATGGATAGGACATACATTACGCAAATCGTCAAACTGCATCACGAGGCAAGCCCTAACTTGGAATCCTGAAGGGAAGCGAAAAAGAGGAAGGCCGAAGAACACATTGCGTCGGATAATAGAAGCAGATATGAAAACGATGAATTACAACTGGACGGAGCTAGAAAGGATTGCCCAGGACAGGGTTGGATGGAGAACGCTGGTGAGCGGCCTATGCTCCTTCACGAGGAGTAACAGGCGTAAGTAAGTAAGTAAGTAAGATATATGCAGTTAAGCACTGTTAATTTCATCTAGAAATCTATTTGCCAGGATTACTTAAGGAATATAAAAACACTACAAATAAGTACCTCAACAATGGGATGGCGAAGTGGTTTAGTAAATTGTGAAACTAACTCAAATGGAAATTTTTATTGACCCCCATAAACCGACGACAAAAAAATCTCAACACAACCCTCAAGTTCAAACATACAATATAACTAACTAGAAGAACGACCACTATATATAAGTGAATGGCACAGCAAAAAGAACAGAAGCACAGAATATTTACCGTCAAATTTTCAACCTCTATAAGAGTTGAGAGGGATTTTTGTGTCTCACTGTCGTTATGCCTAAATGATGAGGGAATTAAGACTAGTCAGTGTTCGATCAATCGTTTCAGCTGTCTGTTGTGAGCATGAAACCTTGACTGATTATATTCAACGATGATTTGGATTATCAGCTTCTTACTTACAAAAGCTTATCCCTGATAGATAAGGTTCATTGTTGGATCAAAGTCTTAAAAAGAAACTGAGATTATTAGGTTGTAGGTAGTATGATTTCGCAAGCGGTACCTTCACTAATTTCAATTTGAAATGGTCTACAATGACTGAAATACTAAGCATTATATTTTTTATTTTAAGACACCTATTAAAAAATTGAAAACAAAATAAGAACTACATTTTTCAAGGTTCACACTAAATATAAAAAATAAGAAGCTATTAGCTACCAAATTAAAAAGCGATTTATCTCAAGATACGGTGAGAACAGTATACCTGAAATCATAAAACTTTTGATTCGATAAAGCTTTAATCGGACTCGTATAGATAACTCTTGTGCCCCGACGTCGACAGAGAGCACAAGCATATTCTGCGACAACCGTCTTCCCAGCGGAAGTATGGGCTGCTACAAAGACTGTTTGATTACGCTCAAGGCACAAAATAGCTTGTTTTTGAAAGGTATCTAGTTCAAATTCCCAATTGAATGCCGGGTTGTCGACAAGTTCAGTTAAAGGTGGGAGTTCACAAGTGGTATCCTCCTAGAAATCAGAATTATGAAAACTATTGATATAATTGTATTAAATCATTTGATAGTAGATTACTACAAAAAATTTACACCATAAAGATTAACAAATTTAATTTTCCCATTTGTATTTTAGTGGATTAATTGTAATTTTTAAGTAAAATACGAAAATTTTAAATGTTTTTGCAGTCGGATAAATAAACTCTATTAACATTAATACCGCAGTGAACGAAGACTTGGTGAAGTAAAAAGATTTATTATTTTATGTAAAATCACAAAGTGACTTTGTAAAATATGATTGTCATACATTAAATACATCATCTGCACATCTTCTTTGAGTTATCCTTTACATACTCCATCATTCTTCCAATTGTGTTGTTATTCCGATTGCTCTGTTTTCCATCCTCTTCTCTTGATTTCAATATTCTGTCGGTAGGCATTTCACTTCGAAATCCTATAAAATCCTACTTATATCAGTCCGCATAAGTAGCCCACACTACAATAAAGTTATCAATATTTGCCTTTTCATAGAACAGATACTAGTTCCAAAGTAATTCGCTATCAGTAAGTCATGCAGTCAGCTACAACGTAGGACCAGGCACATATATGCATCGGTCCACGTTACCATACCTCATTAGCACAAGATGAACACCGGATTCATAGAAGTACTTCATTCACTGGTTGCAATATATAAAAGAAACATTGCATCTAAGGACATAGTACAGGAAGAAAGAATTAGTTCGTAGAAAACAAGATATGAAGAGATCTTAATCTCTTAGTTTAAGGGAAGACAGAGAGTGTATACACCTACAATATTGTGATCGATTCTCAGCCATGTCACTCAGTCTCTAACGACAGTCACGCGGACCCCAACCAAGTAGTCTGCATCTACCAACATGGCTTAACCTAGAAGTTAGTGGCCCCAAGCACTGATGCCACGTTTCGGTCTGGCCGCCCCTAACTTTCTTCCAACCATCCCCAACATCGGTTACCATTGTGCGTCATGATAATTGGTGGTTGGGCCTGAGTAATACGTGGCCCAACCATTTCAGTCAATGAAGGTTCACAACCTCATCAACGCATTTACCATCATTCCCTAATACCCTGCGTATAAATCATTATTACTCACTCGGTGATAATAGCAGATGCAAGCAATATTTCTAAGACATCTTTGGTCAGATACTAGTAGCTTACGAGTACCTTCTACTCTTAATAGCCACGTTTCGCAGCCATAAAGTAAAACAGAACGAACTGCCGCACAATATACTCGTCCCTTAATTGATAGGTGAATAACTCGCATTCGCCATTGGTGTGAGTTGGCAAAAGCCAAACGAGCATTCTGAATCTGGGCCGAGAACTCGTCAGATGCCAATCCGTTAGGGCCGAACAGACTTCCAAGATAAGTGCAGTTGTCGACGCGTTCGAATACTTCACTCCCTATCCTTAGTTCAGGCGTTGCCGTAGACCAGTCCTGAAGCAACAACTTGCATTTAGAGGAGGAAACGCATCCCAAACATTCTGGCGTTGTTACTCAGTGTTACCAAAAGACTGCATTTTATCAGCGTCTTCACCAAACAGGACTATATCATCTGTGTATTCTAAGTCGATAAATGGACCTCCTGGTAGAAAATCAATGCACGAAAATTCAGTCGATGAGAGCGTTATTTCTATCAGTATGTCTATGATGTAGTTGAACAAAAATAGAGAAAGTGGACAGCCTTGACGGACACCACGTGAAGTTGCAAAATCAGATGACAGTTCACCTTATGCTATAACTTGACTAGTAGTGTTCGAGTAAAGAGCCTTCACAAGGTTTATGTACTTCTGAAGTACGCCTTTTAATGACAGACACTGCCATAGAACCTCTCGGTTTACAGAGTCAAATGCTGCTTGCATGCTTGTGTTCTAGAACCTGACGAATGGTGAATACGTGGTCGATGCAGCCACGACCAGGTCTGAAGCCAGCCTGATTTTCTCGTGTTTGCAGTTCATGAGTCTTAGTTAGACGATCGATAATTATTGACGCTAATATTTTACATGCTGTATTAGTCAAACTAATCCCTCTATGGTTGTCACTGGATGATTTTGACCTTTTCTTATATATTGGGACGATAAGTGATTGTGACCAGCCAGATGGGATTACGTCAAACTCCCAGATTTTAGCTAAAATATCAGTCAACCTAATCGCTAAAATTGAACCACCATACTTAAAGATCTCTGGAGCCAATTCATCTGAGCTAGCTGCTACGAGTACTATGTCTGAGCGTTCAGAATTATAAAGAAGTTCAGAAAGCTTCCTGTAAAACTCATCTTTCACTTCATCCGGGCTGCAATCAGTGGGACCATAGGCAGAAACAACGAAAAGGCAACGATGTGTGTCCCTACCCTTCCGAGTTCTAACGGAGCTGTTGAGCCGAACAACATATAGACGACTGTTAACGGGGATCCACTCCAATAGTGCTTGTTCTGCCCTCGTACTTAGTGCTATGTCTACACCCCCCAGTCCACGAAAACTAGCCACCGCGTCGCCAGATACACGGAAAGTGCATCCCATTGACTATCCTTTTTGACGTCAAGTGAATGACCACACTAGGATCCTGTATGTGTGTTTCGGAGACACAGCATATATCAATGGTACGAGATCCTAGGGTTTTAGCCCAGGACGCCTGCTGGGCAATTTGACACAGGGTGAGTACGTTGAAGGCTCTAATGTGTAGTTTGGAGCGCGGTTTCAGTAGACCTGGGACAATGTTTTACGCACTAGAATCGTTGGCTATGGTGACACTTGAGAAGGAAACCAAAGCAGGAGGTTTAATGTTGAAAGTCGATGTAGGAGGAATAGTAGGAATTTGCTAGTTTTACAATACATCAGCAATGGATAATGAAACAGAAACCAGTGTGTTCTCTAGTATTAATTTAAATTAGGTTCGAAGTCTCAAGAATCTGAATGCAGAAAGAGCTAAGTATCTTCCTACTTTTCAACAATATAATTAAAATCTAAATGGAAAAAAGGCTACAGGATTGTTTACGTCATCTACGATGCTCCACTGCCTTGTGGGTTAGACCATTAGGTCGAAGGCTCGGGGTGTGGCCCCCTAAGATAACCACCTACTTCGGTTTGGGCACCCGGGCAGTATCACAGCCCACACACAATTAATGAACTGAACTGTCTATGATCATGGAAACTAATTCATTTGCTTCGACGAACATTCAAATGATTCAATTATTATTATTGCTATTATTATTATTATTATTATTACTATTTACTACGTAATTATTCACCTTCGCTTATTCCCACTATGTTTATACTTATTTTTTTCGACTTACACAGCAGCTCGTCTGTGGTGGAAATCCGACTGTATCTAAACGTTCTCGAGTCACTGTCCGGCTGAAAATTGTATGTTACCACCGAATACGAATACTGAAGCAGTTTTTATGAAACCACGTGCACCACTCAAACTGGCTGCCTTCAACGTTCGCACATTTATGTAGGTCGGACAACAGATAGGGCTGGCTATGTCTTTGGAAAGTCTTAATATTGACGTTTGCTGTCTATCCGAGACCCGTACTCAAGACTCTGGTGAAGTACTACAAATTCGCGTCTAGGCACAGAAGAGAGTCGTTTAGGTGGCCGATGGGGACTTGTTGGTCGCAGGACAGATAACGGGGACCGTCTACTACAACTGTGCACAGACCACAACCTGTTTCTGGCTAGCACTAACTTTCGGCACAGTCATCGCCGATGTGCCACCTGGCGTCCTCCCACTGCATCTCAAGCCTGGACTCAGATTGATCACACGGCGATCAGCTTCCTCTGGCGTGGTTGTGTACAAGACTGCCGCTCCTATTGGAGTACCTATCTGGACTCTGACCATGCCTTGGTCTGCGCCAATCTTACCTTACTTTTCAGTGGCCAACGAAGTGACCGCCACCAACGGATTGATGTTAGCAAGCTGGTTGCAACTACTGTTGCTAGT